TGAGACTTAAGAGAGCATCACCACCTGGTGGTAGATTCAGGGTAATGATTAGCAACTAAATAGGAAATGGCCAGTCCCTGTCACGGATAACATACATTATGAGAGGCCAAAAGCCTTGGCCAAAACTAAGACCAAAAAAAGTAGCACTATAAGTGATTAGCTTCCAACTTAATAGAATGACAGAAATTTGGAAGGGTGATCTAGAATCCATATTTAAGATTCTAATACAATATCCCATAAAGTACAAAAATCCTGTCTCAAAACTATAGAGATATGATACATTGTCTGTGCTAAATACCTGTAGTAAAAAGAAACTTCTTCTCTGGATATCACAGATTGCTAGATAGGTTTAAATTGGGTTTAAATTTGAAATGTCTTATGTCCCACAACCAACAAATCTAATTTTGCAAAATCCAATGCAACATAAAAAACCCCTGATATATTCTATAGCCTGACTTCAAATATATCTCTCATTTTGTTTTTGTTTGTTATAAATACACCCATATTCTTCAATTGCCTTGATTTCTACATACTTTACATCCTGGTCTTCCAGATTTTCCAGATATATTTGATTTGTCAGCATCTGTTTTTAATGCAGCGCCTAAAATAAAACTGACTCACGTGTAGACAGTGGAGTATAGGCACTTCTATTAATGCTTTCCATGTTTCCTTTCAGATTTTAATTGCCGTATCACACTTCTGCTCACATGTTTTAGTCACAATTATTCCTGAACAGCTTTATGTTACGTGGTGACCAGTAAGCTGAGTGTTAGAAGAGACTGAGTAGATTTAAGGGCCAGCATTTACTTTTGAAAGTCTACCCCTAAACCTCAGCTCTCTTCCTCTGCTCTATAAACTTCCAACATATACTCACTTACTTAAGAAGAGGAACAATAAAAGAGTAACTTCAAGATAACTATGAAGAGACAGTAAAACAAAAATTTTGATACATTTTTATGCTTAGACCTTAAGGAGGTTGATGGTGACATAGGCGTCACACAGCAAGGAACTCCCAGGAGGATTATATTTGTAGATAGATAGATAGATAGATAGATAGATAGATAGATAGATAGATAGATAGATAGATAGATAGATAGATAGATAGATATGTAGCTCTCTGAATTGGAAATGCAGAACCTAAGGCAGTCTGCTGTTTGCTCTCTGTCTGCACTGGCCTTTGTGACAACATAAAAAGCAAATAAGGGTATTCCCAATAGTAAAAGATTATTGAGAATTTTTTCTGGGGAGTGATTAGGCTGGAAAGGTAGGAGCTAAATATTGTTTGGCCAGCAGCAGCTTCTGCAACAGTAATAGAATCTGATGCAAACTGTAGCAAAATAAAATCACACCACTTAGGGAAATTCCACTGGTAACTTGGGACAAATGTTTAATATGATTCATTATGAAATATTGGTTAATAAATTAGGTATTTATCATGACAAATGTTTTCAATTTGACTTCTTGTTCTTTTCGATTTCTCAGAATATACATGCCCATATGAACTCATGATACAGATGGAAAGCAAAACATTTTTACTATTAACATAGAAAAAGAGAGTATAATATAGATATTATATATCTGTAATTTCAGCTGTAATAGAAATGGCTACAAGTGAGAGTCTATATGAAATAAATAGTATGTAAATTAAAGATATTTTATTAGAAGGCAAATAATTTTAACCAATTTATTTCTCTCCATGATTAAGATTTAGCTGTATCGTTTTATTTTTATGTTCCAGGGACCTTGAAGGCAACCATATCCATAATTTAAGAAATTTGACTTTTATTTCCTGCAGTAATTTAACTGTTTTGTAAGTAATATGCTATGCTTTTGAAGTAATATTATATTTTCTTACAAATAAAATTTTAAAACACCCATTTTATGGGAGAAAATTCCCAAAGAACATCAAGAGTCTGTCGTTGGATCTCAGTTTGAGAAACGCTAAATTGAAGTCTTAGTCTATAAGAATGTTTATCCTTTGCAAATTATTACAGCATAAATTTTTTCTTTATAATTGTGAAAAAATTGTTACAATCAAAATGAAAAACAAAATACTGCTGAATGCTCACAGCCCTGAGGATGTAATGATGGACATCAAGATAAACCCTAAAGTGTTAGTGAGTGTAATTCCTTCTTATGCATCTTTGGCCTATTTTAAATATACATGGCATTTTCTGTTGAAAGTAAAGGATGTTAGGTCTTCCTTCAGTTAAAAAAAAAAAAAAATCCAACTCTCCTATTCACAGCTTATTTTACCAGAATGTTTTTCAAACTATGGATTGCAACTAATAAGTAGGTGATGAAAGTAATATATAGCATAATTTAGTATACCCTTGTCAGCATTTTTAAATGAAACAGAATTTAATTGAATAGATTATATCAGACTGCAATACAGATAGTAAATGTATTGTTTCATGAGCCTTAGGGTGTGTGTGTGTGTGTGTGTGTGTGTGTGTGTCTGTATGTGTGTGTTTTATGATCCAATATAAAATACATTTTTTAGTATGTGTTACCACAGGAAAAATTTGAAAACCATTATCCTAGACTACACAGGACCCCTGTATATAGGCGATGCAATAACTCCCACTGATATTACCGTATGTTTTCTCCAATTATACCCCCCATTCCAATGGGTTCCAATAAGTTCCAGTTTGAACTCCTCCTGAGTTCAGCAATCTTCAGGTGCAGGGTGCTTGATATAAAGTCATGCAAAATAGTGCATAGTAATTGCCCAAAGGAAACCAAGTTGCACCTGAAGGACACAGAGCAAATATCTGAAAAACTTAGAATTTCTTTTCTATTGTATTTATTTTTTAAGGAAACCTCTGTATTAAGAGATTATTTGTGGATTTCCTCTTGGCAGGTGTTGTGCTTTTAAGGTCCAAGAATATTGGGGAAATGGTGGTAATGGTTTGGAGTGCAGTGAGGAAATAAATCAGAAAGGACAATTTGAAGACACATCATACAATGTTTAAAACATTAAAAGCCCTTTAAAACTTAGTTCTGAGTTGGTCCTCTAGGCTAGCTGATAACACATGAGATCAGTGCAAAAAAGTCAAGAGTTAAACAGTCTGATTCAGCATCCCAAATTAGAGATTCTTCTAAAGGGGTTCAGCTAAGAGTGGACTTCCTTAGGCAGATCTGCCCTAAATCACATCAAGTAACAAATGAGTAGGAGTGCTGTGGTGTGTGGGCTATTTTGTTAGACAGACATGCTATGCAGACTGAAGAGACAAGTCTAAAACAGCTCGTATGAGCTTGGTTGCAAGATATGCAGGCTGTATTCTAAAAAGCAGGGGTTTTCACCATTTCTCTTGCAAAGCTCTTCCCTCCCTATTTCCCTTAAAATTTTGAATTTCTATTATTATCATCATTAAAACATTTGAGAAATTTAGGATTAAAATTAAATTGGATGATTTATACTACTTCAAAATGTCTTTATGGGAAAAATGTACCGTATATTCATTATCTTTGTTTCTGCAGACTGTTCTTCTCTTTAGTAATTCTTGTCAGTTACCTAAAGAAGTTGCAATATATTTTTCTTTTTACTTTCAGAGTGATGAGGAAAAACAAAATTAATTACTTAAATGAAAATACTTTTGCACCTCTCCAGAAACTGGATGAATTGTAAGTATGACTGCGTATATACTGTTAAGAATTTTCTTTCTACTGTTTTATTTTTCACACTTGTACTTACATGTTTATACATTTAAGAAATATTACTTCTCTCCTCTTTCTAAGCATTATTTACATATATACACCTCAAGCCACAAAGGAATTCAGATAGCATACAAAAATATATGGGAAATAAAAATATAAATATTTGAGGAAAGTGGGTTAAAGGAAACACAGCTGTAAAGAAATAATAAAGCCAGTAAAAAATTAATAAATAAAATACATTCTACACCATTCTGTTCCACTCCTAAAGGAGGACAGTAAATTTGTGGATTTTTTTGTTTTGTTTTGTTTTTGTTTTTTGTTTTGTTTGTTTTGAGACAGGGTCTCACTCTGTCACCCAGGCTGGAGTGCAGTGGCGCGATCTCGGCTCACTGCAACCTCTGCCTCCCAGGTTAAAGTGAATATCCTGCCTCAGCCTCCTGAGTAGCTGGACAGGCGCATCCCACCATGCCCAGCTAATTTTTGTATTTGTGGTAAAGATGGGGTTTCACCATGCTGGCCAGGCTAGTAAATTTGTTACTATGTTTCCTAAAGGATTAGGATTCAGGGACCATAAGATTAGAAGACACCACTTTGCTGATCTGAAACCAAAGGATAATCTTGGATCCATAAAGAAATTAGATACTACTGTGGATAATATTCCTACCTATAATAATGGAAGAGAGAAGTTATTTTTATAATGCCCCTTTTTAATGCCAATGACGTAATTCCAAAGGACAATATAACAATTCTATGATGAACCAAATCCTGTGGTCTAAGCACATTGTAGTTGATTTTCAGAATAAAATAGATGTAGAACAGTGAATGAAGTGCTTATCCTTCAGACCATTTTTTTATATTTTAGTGTCAATTTTCTTTTTTTTCCTTTTCATTTTTTTGTTTGCTTTTTTCTAGTGCCAGGGTGTCGCTCTGTTGCCCAAAATGAAGTGCAGTGGTATAATCATAGCTCACTGTAACCTCAAACTCGTTGGGCTCTAGTGATCCTCCCACCTCAGCCTCCTGTGTAGCTAGGACTACAGCACATCACCATGCCCAGCCAATTTTTTTTATTTTTTGTAGAGACAACGTCTCTCTGTGTTGCTCAGGCTGGCTTGGAACTCCCGGCCTTAAGCAATCCTCCCACCTCAGCTTCCCATAATATTGGTGTTACAGACATGAGCCACTGTGCCCAGCTAGTATCCGTTTTCTGGAAAGAACCTGAATGTGGACAGAGCTACATGTTTTGACAATTAGCTAGATAGAACATTCATTTATTAAAACCTTTCCATAAAAATTAAAGAATACAATTAGAATGTTATGAAAATAACACCAGGACACCTTACCTGAGCACTCAAGAAGTTGCAATGTGCTTTTCCTTATGCCAGGTAGAGGGAATACACTGCCAGGAGTTGGAACATTTCTCAGGTAACAATCCTCCATTCTGCCCCAAAACATCAGGGAACGAGCCATTGAAAACCCAACATTTTATCTGTAGCCTGAAACATTTTTTGGTGGTCAGTACCAATCATTCACAAAATGTGCAGGAAAATCTCAAAAACAAATAGAACCAACCATCTGTTGTAGCAACTCCTGGTACATGACAACTGACCCATATCATCAGCACATAGGAAAGTAGTCTCAATAGTAGGGGAAGATGCAGCTGGATGATCCAAAGTATTCTGTAGACATTAGAACACACGTTAGTCAAGGGATGCTAACTATGTATTTTTTCTTGTTTCATCCACTTGAAATCACACCTGAATATCAAGAGATAGTTTCTTCAAATCCTAGCCTTCATGGTGGCAGATTTTATATGTCAATAACCAACAGTGAACATGAACTCAAAGAGCTTAGTGCATAACCAATGCCAATCCAGGTTCAGAAGTAAAGGAAAGAATAATACAAACTGCAGAGAGTAACCAAGGCCAATAATTTGTCTTGCTAATTATTAGGTGGACTTTAATACACCTAATCCCATATTAAACACTTGCCTGAAAAATCAGATTCACCAGGACAAAAATTCCATGTTTTCTAAGAGTCGGTGGCTTTCATTGGATGAGTCTATATCTAAACTGTCCTTTTGAGAGAGGGTTGAACTACACTCTGTGCCCCTCCAGGCTCCATCACACCAACAGAGTTAATGAGAACAAAGAGTCAGGATTCACTTGTCACAGAGGACTTTAGCTCTAGTGACAGAAAATCTTTGCCACGTGGTTGAGTTAATTTGAGCTTTTAAAGTCAACTACTCTAGTTTACAAGGTGTTTCCTGAGTTCATTCAGAAATGGACCTTGACTCCAATTAAGTTTAGCCTAACTTTCCTAAACTTGAGCTGAGAAAATGGCCCTTTCAAATGTCACTTGGGATCTGGGCCAACACTATCCCATTACATGATTCATGCTGTTAGAACTGTATGCCAGGATTTGCTCTGATAACAAAAACCCACACTCCCACCAGTAACTGTTGAACATGACATTTGGAATTTTAATATCCCAGTGCACCATTTTAAATCTGTTTTGTACATTGCTTTACTAATGTGATCAGTATTTTACTTGGCTTCCTATACAAGGAACCGAAATTGTGCCCCACTTTTACTAAAGATGAAACAGAACCAGTCTATTCATAGTCTTCTAACTGGGGATGGAGAGAATAGCTAGTCCAAAGCTGAGCTAGGCACTGGGTAGCGCAGATGAATAGATATCGTTCTTGTACTCAAAGAACTCACATGTTTCAGAAAGGAAACACATATGTACAGAAACAGTTGTAGTACGATGTTATATGTGCTGTATGTGTTATATGTGCTATAGTAGAAGTATGCAAGAGGAATGTATAGGAGAACAAAGGATAAAACACTTCACCTCCCTGGACTCAGAGGTTCAACAGAGGAATGATGTTTGAATGAAGTCTAGAAGGATGAATATGAGATCACAAGGAGGGAAAGAAGAGTATGGGGATTAAAATACTGAAGCGCATTTGGGCCATGGTGAAAAGCTACTTTGGGTAGAAAGTGGTAGGCAAGGGGACTGGAAACATAGTCAGTGGCAAGACATTTGCATATTTAAAGGTTCATTATGGCCAGGTGCAGTGGCTCATACCTGTAATCCCAGCACTTTGGGAGGCTGAGACGGGATGATCGCTTGTGCCCAGGAGTTCCAGACTAGCATGGGAGACATGAAGAAACCCAGCCTCTATCAAAAATACAAAGATTAGCTGGGCATGGTAGCATATGGCTATAGTCCCAGCTACTCAGTAGGCTGAGGCAGGAGCATAGCTTAAGCCCGGGAGGTGGAGGTTGCAGTGAGCCATTTGTGCCACTACACTCCAGCCTGGGTGACGGAGGCAGACCCTGTCTCTAATTAATTAATTAATTAATTAATTAATTAAAGGCTGTTTCTGTCACACAATGCAGTTTTGATTTCATCTCCTAAGGTACAGTAGGCTATTGAAGGAGATTCCAAGTCTTTATGAAAGAGATGGAATTTTAGAATAATTCCTTCAGTTGTCTAATCAGAACAATCTATCTTTGTTGACAATCACCAATAAATATGTAAATAACAACAATAGTCTCCAGGTTCAGTTTACAGCAAATACATTTATAATATTTATCACATTATATTAGCCACTTATTTTTAGTTTTAAAAACTCAGTCTAAAATTGTCCTACCCTTCGAGGTCAAAAGTCTAGCTTTTGCCTTATAAGCAAACCAGCATATATAACAAATACATCTATTCATTCTCCTACCTATCCCAGTGGCAACAAATATGATTTGGAGATGAATAGAAGAAAAGGTTAGACTTTCCCTTAGTATCTCTTGATCACCTTACAGAGCTCAAGTATATTGAAACTTTGTCTTGTATTAAAGAATCTGAGGCCTTTCACATGAGAGCTGCCATTGTCAAAGCTACCACAAGAGATGCTGCTGTCAAACACCTTTTTAGGACTAAGGTGCAAGGTCATACCATGTTAAGCAGGCCCTCTACACACACACAAGATGACTTGCAAAGTACCCTACCCCAGGATAATATGAGATCCTATATATATCAGCTGTGAAAGAAACTCGAACTTGAAATAATACACTTCCATATTAATCATAACAATCCTAAGCAGAAGACAAAAATTAAGACCACAAACCATATATCTGTTCTAACATAGAAGAAGAGAACAAAGGAAGAAGGGGCACAACACAGAAATTAAAAGAATTAGAAAATGTGATTGATTAAAACCAGATCAGGCCGGGCATAGTGGCTCACACCTGTAATCCCAGCACTTTGGGAGGCTGAGGCGGTTGAATCACAAGGTCAGGAGTTTGAGACCAACCTGGCCAACATAGTGAAACTCCGTCTCTACTAAAAATACAAAAATTAGCCAGGCATAGTGTAATTACAGCACCTGTAATCTCAGCTACTCAGGAGGCTGAGGCAGGAGAATTACTTGAACCCGGGAGATGGAGGTTGAGGCGTGCCAAGATCACACCACTACACTCCAGCCTGGGTGACAGAGTGATACTCCGTCTCAACCAAAAAAAAAAAGATCAAATACCATCAAGTATTTGTCTTCCAGGGGATGATGAATGGGATAAAGTATTTTTATATTTTCCTACTTTGCTCCTTTTTTAAAGTTTTAGACTTCTGGTGATTAATATAACTCACCAATGGCATTGTTGAAAAGTTGTATAGTGGTTTCCTAATGAATTTCAGAACAGTGAATAAAGTCTTAAGAAAATACTATCACATATTTGCAATTATTTCTCCAGGGATTTAGGAAGTAATAAGATTGAAAATCTTCCACCGCTTATATTCAAGGACCTGAAGGAGCTGTCACAATTGTAAGACTAATGTTAATTTTGCCACCTCATTTCTTTATTGCATTATTTTTTAAATTGTGGTCAAATATGCATAACATAAAATTAGCCGTTTTTAAGTGTATAGTTGAGTAGCATTAGCTACATTCACATTGCTGCACAACCATCACCACCATCTACCTCCAGAAGTTTTTCATGTTGCAAAACTGAAACTCTAGCCACTAAACACTAACTTCCCACTCACTCTTCCCCCATCCCCTGGCTACCACCATTCTACTTTGTGTCTGTGTGAATTTGACTACTCTAGATACCTCATAGAAGTGAAATCATGGAATATTTATCTTTTTGTGACAGGCCTATTCTACTTAGCATACTGTCTTCAAGTTTCATCTCTGTTGTAGCAGAAATGAATTTCCTTCCTTCTTAAGACTGAACAATATTTCATTGTGTATATATATTGCAGTGTTTATCTATTCACCCATTAATGGACATTTGAGTTGCTTCCATCTTTTGGCTATTGTGGATAATGTTGCTATGAACCTGGGTATACAAATATCCGTTGAGCCTGCTTTCAATTTTTAGATATCTACTCTCAAAAGTAGAATTGCTGTTTCATACATTTCTATCATTTTATTTTTAATGTATGTTTCATTCTGTTTTCCACATGAGTTTAACCATTTTACATTTCCACTAGTAGTATACTAGGGTTTCCGTTTCTCCACATCCTTCCCAACACTTGGTATTTTCTGTTTTTTTGAAAATAGGCATGCTAATGGATATGAAATGGTATCTCACCGTGGTTTTGTTTTGTGGTTCCCAGTGATTAGTGATGTTGAGTAACTTTTCATGTGCTTATTGGCCATTTGGATATCTTCTTGCAGAAAAATCTATTCAAGTCATTCACTCATTTTCCAATTGGATTGTTCAGTTTTTCTGTAGTTGTTAGATTGTTGGAGTTATATATTCTGGATGTTAACTTCTTTTCAGATACAGGTTTGCAAATATTTTCTCCCATAACATGGGCTGCCTTTTGACTCTATTATGGTGTCCTTTGATGCACAAAAGTTTTTAATTTATATATAGTCTAATTTTTAAATTTCTTCTTTTGTTACTTATGCTTTTGGTGTCATATCCAAAATGGCACCAATGTCATGAAGCTTTTCCTGTATGATTTCTTCTAAGAGTCTTGTAGTTTTTAGCTTTAACATTTAGGTCTTAAATCCATTTTGAGTTAACTTATCTACATGGTGTAAGGTAAGGATCCAACTTCATTCTTTTGCATGTGGATGTCCAATTTTGTCAACACAATTTATTGAAAAGACTACTTTTTCCCCATTGAGTGTCCTTGGCACCCTTGTTGAAAATCATTTGATCATGTATCTGTGGGTTTATTCCTGAGCTCTCTATTCTATTCCATTAGTCTACATGTCTGCATTTCAGTCAGTACTACACCGATGGCTGTAGCTTTGTAGTATGTTTTGAAATTAAATAGTGTAAAATCTCCAATTTTGTTCTTCTTTTTTCAAGATTGTTTGGCTATTTGGGCTCCCTGGGTTTTCCATATGAATTTTAGGATGGATTTTTATATTTCTGCAAAAAAAAAAAAAAAAAGGCAATGGAATTTTGGCAGATTGCCTTGAATCTGTAGCTCACTTTGAGCAATACTGACATCTTAATATTAAGTCTTCTGATCTGTGAACATAGCATATCTTTCCCTTCATTGGTGTCTTCCTTATTTTCTTTCAGCAATGTTTTCACAGTTGCAATGGGTATTTATCTTTCACCTCTTTGGATTAAGTTTATTTAAGTATATTATTCTTTTGATGCTATTGTAAATGGAATTCTTTTCCTAATTTTCCTTTTGTGATTATTCATTGCGT